CTCCTGGGCTGTGGAGGGCTGGGGAGAAGGGATAGAAACAGGCTTCACCTTTTTCTGGCGGGCAGGGACATTCATTTGTTTGCCCCCAGGGGTTTCCCTTCTGTCCCTAAATCAGTGGGATGAAAGGGGCGGATGCTGAACCTCCCCTTCCATGTGTTGGGGGCACCATTTGGGCATGTGGAAAATTCAAACTGCGACCTCCGTTTGCCACCAGATCGGACCCAGCCTGATTCCCACGCCCTGCCTGCGGATCCCTCCCTTTCCCCCAGCCCTCAGTCCCTGTGTCCCTCCCTGCAGGTGCAGTGGCACTGCCGAGCCCGCATGGTTGCCGGGGCCAACTTCTACATCGTGGGGCGGGACCCGGCGGGAATGCCGCACCCCGACACCAAGCAGGACCTGTACGAGCCCACGCACGGCGGGAAGGTGCTGGGCATGGCCCCCGGCCTCACCTCCGTGGAGATCATCCCCTTCCGGGTGGCTGCCTACAACAAGATCAAAAGGGCCATGGATTTCTACGACCCCAAAAGGTAAGGCAGCAGCGACGTCACGGTTTCTTCACAAACCCCAAAAGCATGGGGTTTATGGGCGCTTTGGGCTCGCAGCTTTCCAGGGGACAGGGAAAAGCCACGTTCCTCCCAAGGAGAGGAATGGGGGGAGAACCTGCAAAAGCCACCCGCATTTTCCTCCAAGATCTGTTCCCAGGTGTCACAGGAAACTAAAGATGCCGCCAGGGAGGAAAAGCACCACGGGCTGGGAGCTGATAGGCAGCAGAAAGGCAACCTCCCACAGCTGGGAAGTGTGTTAGGGACACTCCAGCTCCTCTGGGATGAGGAACCCTGGGGGTGACTCGGGCCAGCTGTGCTGATGTCACCTGTCTCTGTTTTGCACAGGCACGACGATTTTGACTTCATCTCAGGAACACGCATGAGGAAGCTTGCTCGGGAAGGGGAAAACCCCCCGGATGGCTTCATGGCCCCCAAAGCCTGGAAAGTCCTTACCACGTATTACCAGTCACTGGAAAAAAAGAATTAATTCCTCCTCCTCCTCCCTAGAAATATCTGTATTAAGAGTGAGCAATGATCGATTGATTCCCTGTGCCACAGATCACTTGGCATGACCCTGGGATTTTCCTACCCGGATCAGAGTGTTTTTTACCAATCAGAAATAACTTTGAGCCTGATCCTTCTCCCCCTAAAGCTGCTGGGAGCGTCCCCATGGAGCTGGAAGGGATGGGGAGCGGGCCCTTCATTCCTGGCTGGTGCCAGGATGTGCCACCAGGATTGTTGTGGTGCTGCCAGGGCCACCCAGCATCTCCCAGTGCAGAGGGGAGGCCTCAGACCAGGATAAATCCTGCCTGTGCCCTGCCTGGAGCAGAAATGAAGAAGTGCCTTTCCACATCGTGCCTTAGACAGTTTTTGCTAATTAACATTAGAATCTTTTTAATGCCCTTTTTTAAAAAGGACTTTTTAAGACCAGCTGTGACCACCGCCAGTTCCTTGTGGCTGAGCCAACTCCTCACTGCTTCCTTCCTCCTGCTTGACCTCTTTGGCCAAAAAAATCCCAGGCTGAGCATTCCTGTTGCTCCAAGTTCAGCTGTTTGTGAGACTGTGCCATGGTGATCCCTGCACTCACAGCCTAGTGGGGGAACCTGTCCTGGGAGGCACCATAAAGCCCTGAGATCCCTGAGAAAGCTCTGGACAGCAAGGAAAAGTCAGGGACGCTGTCACTGTGCTTTCAGGTGTCCTCCTACATGGCAGGATGGGATCCCCCTTCCCTCTGTATAATGAAGTACTGGAATGATCTCCCCACGGAGGTGGTGGAGTCACCATCCCTGGATGTGACACTCAGTGCCATGGTTTAGTTGAGGTGTTAGGGCATGGCTTGGACTTGATGATCTTGAAGGTCTCTTCCAACTTAGAGATTCTGTGACTCTGCCCACACTCCTCCCATCCCAAAGGCAAATCCAAGGCAAAACAGCAAAGACATAGCACGAGGTGGGGCTGGAGAACCAGCTGAGAGGAGGTTGAAGCTCCTGTCCTGGTCCACACCTGTGTGGGTACAGGTGACCTGATTTATTCCATGTCTGTGGGGATGGCCAGAGGATGGCAGGAAAGCCCTTGGGCCCCCCCAGCCCTGTGGGGTGCTGGTGCTGAGCTCCCAGCTCTGGCTGTGGAAAGTTACCCTGGACTTTATCTCCTTCCCCACCCTCATCCTGACATGGACTTTGCCTGTGCCATGCCTGAGGCTTTTCCGCTGACTCGAAGCTCCTGTGGTGGCCCCGAGGGGACAGAGCAGTGACACAACAGTGGAGATTCCCTGGAGCCCACGGCCTTCCAGGGACAGGGCTGGTCCTGCCCTGCCTTCCCGGCTGTAAGGAAAACAACCAAGCACTTGGTAATTACAGCAACGGCCTCACTCCCTGATTTTTGCACCTGGCCTTCTTTAGCAGCCTCCCCAGGACCCGTCAGGATGCGTTCCCCATAAATGGGAATCAGTTCCTCTCTCCTTGTGCTCCAGTTTTCATTCCAGATGGATCCACGCTCGGCAAAACCACCCCTCTCCTATGACCTGCTCTGCTGTGGCCAGGGCATAACGTCCAAGCCATTGTCTGTGACTGGAAAATATCCTTGCAAAAGGGCTTTGTGGGTAGTTTTTAAAGTAATTTTAAAAAGTATTTGGAGCAAAGCTGTGTTTTACCCCAAGGCAAATGCTGCAGCCTCCGTGGGAGCTGACAGTGCACCAGCACCAGGCTCACCCAGCCGGGCCCTCTGGCAGGAAGCCAAAAGGGATATTCCCATTTAGGATTTTTAAGGAGTGAAACAGCACTGTTGTTGCTCATCATAAAGTCACCCAGTGTTGAAACCTGCCCCCCTCACTCAATCCAGGTGGTCACAGCAAAACACAGGTGTTTTATTATCATTTTAAACCAGCATAGTGTCCTGATTACTTCTGATTAAAACAGATGGACTTGGGGGATTTATAGTCTATTTATTAAAGACATGAGACTGGAATTTGTACCTCAACTGATGCATCTCATGATTTACTATATTCTGATCTCGATACTCTAAGAAATACTCACTTTTAGTACAAATAAATATTTATATGTGTAAGTAGCTCTCACTTGGTGATTTTTGGGTGGGACTTTGCTCAGCCTTGGCAATGCAACAATTGAGCAGCTGTCCCTGGAGCTGTGGGAGAGGGATCAGGCTCTTCCCTCCTTCAGAGAGGCAGGATTGGGTTGGACCCAATCTGAGGGTTGGCCCAAGCCTCTGGAGCCATGGAATTAGAGCATCCACATTCCAAACCACGTTGCTTCCCAGGCCATTCGAGGAAGCTGCCAGAGGGTTTGTGCTTTGACAAGGACTGCCGCAGCAGCAAGAGTAGACAAGTATGGAAGAGTTCCTGGAGAAGCAGGAATTGCACTCCAGCTGCAGCAACTGCCCCTAGGAGCAATCAGAAATAATTCCTTGTGCCTCTTCGGTCAGCCCTGAGGATTTATGGGCAGCAGGGAAAGGCAGCTCCAGGCAGCCGTGCCCAGAGCAGGGGTTTTGGAGGCACGGCAGATCAGACCTCAGGCAGTGCCCAGGGGCTGCCCCCGGCTCTGTTTTGCTCCTCCATGTGACATTAAAACTTCCCTCAGGGCACACTTCACACCCAATTAAAGCCAAGCAAGACCTGCCCGCGCTGCGGTTTTACCAAGCAGAGAGCAGCCTGAAAAAAAGGCAGGATGTGCAGGAGGAGCTTCCCAGGCTGGAATTTCTCAGGTGTAACAACCCCTGAGAGAGGAGGGAGCACAGCAGGGTGAGAGAGAGCAGGCACTGAACACACGGAGCAGCTGGAAAACTTCCCCGGCACAGGCGCCATCCCAGCCTTCCCAGGGAGTCCAGAAGGAGCACCAACAGCAGGTTCAAGGTTACTCATGGAATCCCAGATTGGTTTGAGTTGGAAGGGACCTTAAAGCCCATCCAGTGCCACCCCTGCCATGGGCAGGGACACCTTCCACCATCCCAGGCTGCTCCAAGCTCCAAAATCCAACCTGGCCTTGGACACTTCCAGGGATTCAGGGGCAGCCACGGCTTCTCTGGGCACCCTGTGCCAGGACCTGCCCACCCTCCCAGGGGAACAATTCCTTCCCAATATCCCATCTATCCCTGCCCTCTGGCAGTGGGAAGCCATTCCCTGTGTCCTGGCACTCTATCCCTTGCCTCAACTCTCTCCATCTCTCCTGTAGCTCCTTCAGGCACTGGAAGGCCACAGTTTGGTCACCCCAAAGCTTCTCCTCTCCAGGCTGAACAATCCCAGCTCTCTCAGCCTTTCCTCCCAGCAGAGCTGCTCCATCCCTCTGATCATCCTGGTTCCTCCTCTGGACTCATTCCTGGATCCCAGGCTCAGCCAGAGCCAGTACTGGGCACTCAGCCCCAGCATTAAAGTGACTTGTGGGATCTGGGAACATCCCAGATCTCGGACTTTTCCCATTCCCATAGTCCAGCAGTTCTGCTGTGCCTAAATTCCTGCACCTTTTTGTCAGACCACTGTGCATCTCCCATTGCTTTGTGATACAGGGAAGAGTTCTAAGCAATTATTCAATTATTTTTATCCTCCCCCTCCCTTCTGCTTTTAAGATTAAACTGGGACAAACTCAGCCCTGCTGCATCATCCAGCCAGCATTCCAGAGGGCAGGACAATGGGGAGCAGGCTGAGCTTGAGGGACACTGTCACCAGCCCCTGACACCGTGTCATGGCAGGGCTCCAGCCCCCCTTATTTCACTTTATTTTCCTTTGCAGTGCATTGGGTTTTACATCATTCTGTGCCTCCAATGTTTCCCCTCCCCTCACAGGCAGCAGAGCTGTGACACAGCGTCCCACCCCTGGGCTTTGAACAATTAATTCCCTTTACAGATTTGGGGTCAATTAGTGCACAGTTCATAGCATTATATGAAAAAACCTCAAGTTCTTGACTATCTCTGACAATAACGTCACAAAAAAAACCCAAAAAAACAAACCAAAACATTTTTGCCACTCACAATTGTAACCCTTGGCCTTTATCACAACAGAACGTTACAAGAATTCACCAGAACTGGTACCAGCAAGAACAGCACGTTGCTAAACCACATCAATAAGCCCAAAACCCATTTCCTCCTCTTTAAATTCACAGATCTGAGCATGGGACAGAGTCAAATATCATACAGTGTCCCTGCTGTGCCTCGGGGCTGTGACACTTCAGGGGATGGTGCCACAGTGGGGCTTGCAGAAACCGAGGGAGAAGCAAGTCCTTGGGACAGTGCACAGGAGCTCAGAAAGCTCGGGCTTCAGAGAGCTCAGAGGGCATAGGGCTTCAGGGAAGAGCCAGTGGGATTCTACTCTAAGTGCTCACAGGAAGGGAAAACCAAAAATAAAATCAGCCTTCATTTAAAAAGCCTTCAAAAGCAGAATTCATAAAAAATTAAAAGTATTCAAACATTCTTACAGAGTAGTTTACTATCTTGACTAAATGGCACCAGATTTCAAGTGGTCATGTGGAAGAAAAATCAGTAGCATTTCAAATGTTGCTTTGTTCTAGGAGCAGTTTCTATTCTGCTAAAAGGTAGAAGTGAACTGAGTATCGAGGAATCTTTCCCCTACGCGGCTTCGGATTTGGTTTGCTTCAAGAAGTAGAAAAGATTTTCCATACTCAAGTTATCTACAGATTATGTCTATATATAAAAAAAAGTGTGGCTATGTACAGGTCTTGCACTCACACACCCATCTGTACACACACAGCCCGTGCCAGGTCCTGTCCTCTTCCCTGGGACCACCCACTCCTGCTGGAAGGCTCCAAGGGATCCCTAAGGACAACACACAGGCACTCGCTCTTAGTCTGGGCTGCACTGTTCCACTCATGATCTGTGCTTCCACTTCCAGTTGGAATTGCAATAACTTAGAGGTTGTTGTTGTATAAAAACGTAGAACTCCCTTTGCCACCCCTGCTCCCACCCCCTGACACTGGTTTTGCTAACTGATTACAGAAGTCAAACTAAATCACATCAGGAACTGCAAACACACTCTTTTGCCTTAATCCAACACGATCCCCATGGCCAGGTTCTGCATGGAGACATCCTTGGATTGCCTCATCTTCTCGATGGCCCTGTGGAGATCCTGCTGCTGCACGGGCCGGATCTCATCTTCATCGTGCCTGGGGAAGAGAGAGAGCAGCCAGGTGAGGGTCTAGGGGCTGTGCCAACAGTCACATCCCTGCAAACAGCAGCTCTGACATGGATCCAGCATCCTGCTGGAATCCCAGGATCCGTGAGGCTGGAAAAGCCCTCCCAGTCCATGGAGCCCAAGCTGTGCCCCATGCCCACCTTGTCCCCAGCCCAGAGCACTGAGTGCCACCTCCAGCCCTTCCTTGGACACCTCCAGGGTTGGGCACTCCAAACCTCCCTGGGCAGCCCCTCACAAGGCCCGAGCACCCTTTCCATGGAGAAATTCCTCCTGCTCTCCAACCTGAGCCTCCCCTGGCACAGCTTGAGGCCGTTTCCCCTTGTCCTGTCCCTGTTCCCTGGCAGCAGAGCCCGACCCCCCCTGGCTGTCCCCTCCTGTCAGGGAGTTGTGCAGAGCCAGAAGGTTCCCCCTGAGCCTCCTTTTCTCCAGGCTGAGCCCCTTTCCCAGCTCCCTCAGCCCCTCCTGGGGCTCCCATCCCTTCTCTGGACATGCTCCAGCTCCTCAGTGTACCCAGGACTGCTGTAGGCGTGGCAAATACCAAAGTGATGTCCCAGCACTGTGTCAGCAGCACTGAAACCAAGCACTAACCAGTGCAGCAGCAGGACTTGGTGGCTCAGGCTACCTCCAGCCTGGGCACCTTGGAATAACCAAGGTGCTGAGCTTACTTTCAGAGCCAAAAGGAGTAACAGTAACTGAGTTTGGGGTGAGATGTTTGTATATAGTGGCAAGTGGGCATGAAAGCAGGATGCTCCTGCTCTGTGTGATCCTCTAGCCAACCCCAGCTCGAGGCAGGGAACACGAGGAGTAGCTGTGAGTTGCAGCAGGGCCCCACGTACACGTCCTCCTCGCAGGCGTTGTTGACGTACTCCCGCACGCAGAGCAGCGCCGCGTCCCGGCACATCTCCTTCAGGTCGCTGCCCGAGAAGCCGTCGGTCTCCTTGGCCACCTGCAGCAGATCCACATGGCTGTCCACCTGTGGGAAACTCGAGGTCAGGCCAAGGACACTCCAAAGCCACTGATTTGGGTTACCATGACAAGAGACAGTCACCTCCAAGAGTTTTTACCCGCTCTGAGATCATCTGCATTTGGCACTTGTGGGGAGTTCAATTATTCCCTCACTCTTTGAACCTCCAAGTGCTTCACACCATTACAGGAAACTGATGTTTCAGCTCAGCAAACTCTGCCATTGGTTCAAAACCCCACCAAAACCCCACACAAACCACAACCATCCCACTGGTATATCCTGTACTAACCACGCTCCTGCCTGGCAAAAACTGGATCCCAGGAACAGTGACCCCTTTTCCCAGGAGCCCACGTAAGTATCTCAGAGCTCTGCTGTCTGGATACCTGTTCCTGCTTTACACAGCCCCAAACCAGAAGATTTAGAGGCAAAATAATGTGTCTAACTCAGTGCACTGGGTCAGGCTGAACTCCTGCCAGTCAATGTTTATTCCATCTTTTTACAGAGTTTCTGATTCCTTTTCCACCATGTGCATCGGTATTTCCTTTTCAAAAAGTTAAAAGCCAAGGCAGTCTATAAAAGGCTGAAATTCTGCAATGACTTCTTTCAAGAGGGAAACTATTCCATGGTTTGAGTCAGGCAAGGAGAAAGGAGGGCAGGGCTTCCCTTGCCATATGAAGTCTGGGCTTGAGAGATCCAATTCCTCCTCCTGTGGGATAACTGATACAGGCTGGATTTTTTTATCTCCCTGAAAAACTTACTTGTGTGGTTCCCTGCCAGATGCTGGTGAGCTGCCATTTTTAGGCCTCTTCAAAAAATTTAGGTTGGTTTTACTAATAAAAGATATTTATTAAGCTGGAGCTCAGCCTAGAGACACTTTGCAACATTAACTTGAAGGCAATTAGTGCTGCTGACGAAATTTGAGAGGAAGCTCTGGTGACAGAGATCCCCTATCATGCCACAGACACTTCCAGGTGTGCTCAGCCCTCATCCTTCCCCTGTTCTCTGAATTATCAATCAAAAGCAGCACTATCAAAAAAGTCATTTCTCCTTGCTTGACTTGAGCTAAGAAAGAGTTAAAGAGTCAGCATCTTCTCCCTTCATCATGAGGGCTTGAAATTTCCTTCCCTGATCTAAACATGATTCACCTTCACCTTCTTTAGAGAGAGAAATCTCTTCTCTTGTTACAGAACCAGCAAATGGAGACAGAGAAATGGAGTCATTCTGCTCAGAGGGGGTGATTCACCCTGCAAGCCAAGGCTCCTGCTCACAAAGGAGCCAACTGCAGGGCTTTAATGTAAGGCCACACCTAAACCCACAAAAGATTCCCAAGTTCTCACCAGAAATGCTCTGGCAGATCATCTCAGCCTCACTGCAAGGCAGGCAATTATAAACCACACATCCTGCAAGGCCAGAGCTGCACTGGTGGCAGTAATGCAGCCATGAGCCACTAACAGGAGGCTACTCACATTTTCATTCTTCAAAATCAGCTTCAAGATCGCCTCTCTTTGCTTCAGAGCCTGAAACAGAAGACACTGAAGTTACCAGAGGACAAAAATAAACACTTGTGACATCCCAAGGCTTTCGGTCCCTTCAGTGTCCTCACCCAGGACATGTGACACACACCGAGAAAACTTCTCTGGTGGCAAATTCAGTTCCACAGGTGATGCTTGGGAAATTCTAAACCAGATAAATTGCATACTGTATGTGAGGAGGTTACTGAAGAATCAGCTGAGTCCTGAGAAGATCCCTCCTAGGAAGGTCAAACACAGGCAACAAAAACTGGGTTTTGTGCCTGCCAAACTTCACTTACATCATTAAAAAGGGGAAAAATTACCCCACAGATAATCTGGCAGCTGAACAGTTCCTACTCTGTCCCAAAACCCACTTCTGCCATTTCTCTCTGCTTTGCAAGTAGTTTTTGAAGCGTAATTTGTGGCCTCTTCATCTCAAACTCAGTTATAAAATCTGCAAGGCTTTCACTCCTGCTCGTGCCTGTTCCCAATCCACAGCACATCAAATATTTCACCTTCAGAAAGAGTCAGGGCCAATCTGAGTTGATCATAAAGCAAGAGAGAAGCAGTAAGCTCATGGCAGAGCTGTACTGGGGTAAGGAAAATCTGTTCCCTAAATGACACCTCCTGTGGTAACTCTGATCCTGGGAGAGAGAGTCTATCCCTGTAATATCCCAGGGAACATAATTCATCCTTCAAATGATGGGGCTTGATAGAATGACACAACAAAGTACTCAAATCCACATCCATATACTCTACTAACTCAAGGAACAGTTGGAGATGAGGAATGTGTGTGGAACAGGTATGGATGCACAGCAGCTCCCAGGTTATAAATGTTATTTCCAAAGGGATTCACTCCCATGGCAGCTCCAACAACACAGGCCTGGGAACAACTCCTCTCTTGCACAGCCAATAAGAATTTTGTTCCTCCAGTTTTGTTTCTCAGTTTCAGCAAAAATGGATAATGATTTCTGTAGCCAGAAAGGAATCCCGACAGTCATGACTGAACTCCTGATAACACTGACACAAAAATGTCTGGTGACATCAGAAGGCATTCAAGGGTGACTGAAATATCTGGAAAATGATGGCAAGAGCAACTCTTGGGGTAAGGACATCCTTGTGAGAGCTGCCTAATTGATAAAGAACTTAATAACTGGGGCATAAATCATAGAATCATGGAATGGTTTAGGTCCTTCAAGACCATCTCATTCCAAGCCCATCACAGGCAGAATAAACCAGGCTTTCCACACTGTCTGCTGTGGAAAGGCCTGAGCAGAACACAGTTACAAACCAGCCCTTTCCAGCGTGCAGCATCCAAACATCTCCATTCTCAGAGAAGAGGAGGGGTGAGAAGCTCACAGTGCTGTTTCTCATGGTGTTGCTTCAGATTAAAAACCCAAGAGATCAAAACTTCATCTTAAAAAGCCGAGTCATGGACGTGCTTCAAAAAACCCTAAAGCCAGCTGAGCAGAATGCAGCATTTCCTGGAGAAAAAGGCCCAGAGCTGTGGATTTCCTGGCTGGTGGGGCAGGGCAGGCAGGACTTACGGGCTGGTTGATGTGGAAGCGGGTGGGCATCCTCCTCATGATGGCAGAGTCCAGGTCCTGGGGCCGGTTGGTGGCTCCCATCACAATCACCTGTGTGACACCAACAGACACCACTGAAACCAGAGCTGGGAAACATCCACAGGCTGGGAATGTCAGCACCAGCCACGGGATCTCCCCCACTTTATCAACAGCATTGATGTTTAAAGAAGTTACATAAAGCTTTCCTGGCAGTGATCTCAGCAAGGGCAGCTGGAGAGAGCCTGGTGCCACAAATGCCACCTGGAGGGAGATTTCTGTATGAGTCCAACTTGAAAATTCAAACCCTAAGAAGGAACTTAAAACTTCTGCTTGTGATTCCACTTTTGGTTCCTGGTGGAATTCAAAAGGAGATGTTTCGGGAAGGTATTTAAAAATGTGGTGGTTTTGTGCTGGGCTGAAAAAAGAATCACAGAAGGTTTGGGTTGGAAAAGACCTTAGAGCTCATCTTGTTGCAAGCCCTCCACGGGCAGGAACACCTTCCAGGAGACCACCACGGCAATGGGTTCACCTGGCAAAATGTAAAGGCCCAAATGGTGTCTTTATTATATCAAACATTTTAAAAAGCATTCCATGTCCTACAGGTCAGCAGTAGGTTAAAGGTGTCCAAGCCAAGCCCAGCACCAGGACAGTGTTTACCTCCCTGCAGCACTCCAGCTCTTAATTCCAGAACAAATTTACTCCCCATTCACAACAGCCTTGTTTTCCCATTTCTTACTCTAAGCTGTGTACATGGTAAACACGCAGCCAGGAGAGTGAAAAACAGCAGGGTGATTAATCTGGGTTCCAGGAGAGTGAAAAACGGCAGGGTGATTAATCAGGGGGTTTCCTGTCCGGCTCCTGCCTTTGGGCCAGGCCCAGCGGGGCTGGTGGCCCAGCAGAGTCACCCTGCCACCTAGAGGCACTGGGATTGCTGGCTCCGGGATGATCCACGCTTCTCTGGGCATTATTTTCAGCCAAAAGGCACATTCTTCACCTGCCCCGAGTTCCTGCCACACTCCAGATTCATCCTCAGCAGGTTTAGCTCACAGCTGAGCGTGGCTTCCAGGTGAAATCAACACATCTACCTCAACACTTCCTTACAGTTTCCTCCAAGCATTTGGGATTCTTGTTTTTCTTACAAAAGGCAAGCGCTGCTGGAACTTGAGAGACCCCAAATTGTCTCACTGCAGGGAAGGAATAATTTCCTTTGCTCCAAGGAACTGTCAGTATATTGGGGAAAAAAAAAGATGCTTGGAAGATAATACCAGTTTCCAATGAAGGGTTCATACCACTGGCTTTTTACTAATGGGAAGCTTTAGCCCTCCTCAGTACACATATATATATCAATGTTTTTTACTCATTTTGGGAAAAATCAGCTGAAAAGCATTTTTAGCACAAGCTTGGGAGAGGAGGAAAAGCCATTTATGGAAAAATATACATTAAAAAGGTTGAAAATTTTCAACTTAGGGAATAAATATCCTGTTTAAGGGCTTTAAGAAGATCATCCCAGATGACAGGTCAGAACAGTGGCATGCAGGCTTTCCGCTACATTCAAGCCATTTAGAATCCCAGGATGGTTTAGGATGGGAGGAACCTTAATGCCCATCCCATCTGAAAAGGCCACTTCTTGATTAAAACCAAAATAAGCACAAAGCCAATCTTCTCAGAAAGAACAATGATCTGTGGCTACAACTCCCCTCATTCCCATAAAGTGCTGGGAATCACTGACAGGTAAAGAACACTTTGGCAAACCCTGCTCCCAAGCAGCTCCACACACAATATCCCAGGGGAAGGAATGCCACCCTGTCTCCCAGCAGCCTGAGGACTCACCTGGCAGTTGTAGTCGGTGTCCAGCCCATCCCACAGACTCATGAACTGGGCTTTCATCATGGCTGTGGCCTCGTGGTCGGTGCTCGATCGGTTTCGCAGGAAGGAATCTGTGCCAAAGGAGGGGAGGGGTCACTGCCAACCCAGCTCCTCATGGGAATGCTCACCTGGGCTGCTCTCTTACCTCAGAAATGCATTTCTCATCACCTGGTGCTGCTAAGGGTGACAGCAGCAAAGTGGACTCTCCCCCATTCCTAAGCCCCCCTTTCAAAGGGCACTACACAAGCATGCACCCATCACAGGAGATTGCCCCACAACTTGGGCTCCAAATTTTCACCTTCCTGAATTCATGGAAAGCAGCCTCCCCTCCTATTCTTCAGTCTCATGAAACCAGTATTCCAGAGCTCTCCTAAAACCATATTTTACTTCCCAGTATGTGCCCTGACAGCAAAAGCACTGAAGTGTACTTTTTGCTGGGTTGCCTTGTGAAGCAAAAATAAGTAGAAACTCATTTTGCTTGTGAATTCCTCCACTACCACCAGGAAAAAACACTTTGTTTTTCCTAATGTGCCACCACCCCTTTAGAATTCTATTTCTCTTACAGAGCCTTCACTCTTTTTAAAGAAAAGATGACAGCAGATCCATACATCACTGAACCTACAGTTCAATGTCACTCTGTTATAGCTACTGATAAAAAAAGAGATTTTTACCTATTTCATCAATAAAAATGATGGATGGCTGGAGCTTTACGGCCAGGGAGAAGACAGCAGCAGCCAGTTTTTGGGATTCTCCATACCATTTATCTGTCAGTGTGGAGGGCTGGAGGTTGATGAACCTACACCCAGCTTCCTTGGCCGTAGCTTTGGCAATCAGGGTTTTCCCACATCCAGGGGGGCCGTAGAGAAGGACTCCTGGAAAATTCACAGTGTTAGTGCTTTGCTAGTAAAAGGCCTGGGGGTGTCCAGGCTCCAGTTTGATCCAGGTCTTAAAAGTTAAGAAACCAAACCAAGGAAACACTGTTCCATCAAACCAGAGGTTTTAAGATAATCCCTATTAAATTACAGCTCAGAATAGGCAAAGACAGGAATGGTGAAGATGAGAGGAGACATTTGCAAGATGACTGGTTTATTGTCCCTGCCCTAGGCAGGGGGTGGAACATCATCTTTAAGGTCCCTTCCAACCCAAATCACTCCATGATTACACTTTATTCCATTCCCAGGACTACGAAGGTTACATAAAATTAACCCCTGTTTATGTCCTGTCAGCACCTCACAGGCCTTGTTCATAGCTCCTTTCAGTCCTGCTAATAAAACTTAGCACAGAGAAGCGAGGAAAGGAAAAATCCATCACACAACAGACCCACAGACATTTTAAACAAATTACCCACAATTAAATATGACATCTTGTATTATTTTTAAACTTGTCACAATTAAATATGACATCTTGTATTATTTTTAAACTTGTCACAGTGCAGGAATTCACAGGAGTGTTTTTCTAACACAGCTATAAAGAAAACAATTTCAAGAGCAACATTCAGTCAAAAGAGCCCAAAACACAGGGAATTATTAAAGTTTTTTCTCTGCTTATGTGAGTGATGCCCACAAACATCATTACTCTGGAGCAGTGACTTCCTATTAACTCCCAGCACAAGCCACTCGTAAAACTGGGGAGCAGCCCGAGCTGGAAGAAGATAAATAAAAAATCATTTTTTCCTTCAGCTTATTAGATCATGGCATTCATGTAATTTTCCAGACAGCTTCAGTTTGTGACTTACACAGAAAATAGCCTGGAAAAAGTAAACCAGCTACCAAAGTGCTGCATTTTCCATCCCTTGGGACACAGGACTGAGGTGGTCACAGATCCAGGAAGTAATTAAGAGCTCCAGAAACCAATATTCCAGGGAACAAAGCAGTAAACTTGGGGGTTTTGTCCAACATTTTAGGTTTAAATTCTGCCTTTTTTTTTTTTTTTTTTTTTTAAGTGACATACAACAAATATGGCTGTAGGGATTTAAGCACAGTCCAACTTCTGTTTTACTGTGGAAAATGAATCTGCCACCTGCCTTAGCACTGTGCAACTCAACTCCAGAGAGAATCAAAGGATCTCCAGAGGAAAAACGGGATGTCTGTCTTGCTGAATGACGGGAATTTCTAGGAGTGTCAGAGCTGTCTAGGAGTGTCAGAGTTCAGCTCTGCGAAGGGGCAACAGTGGTTTAAAGAAAATAAAAATGACAATTTAGGCAGTTAAAAATGCAGGACACATGGATTATAAGCCTGGAGTGATGAGATGAGGGGAAATGGCTTCATGCTGACAGAGAGGAGGTTTGGAAGGGATATTGGGAAGGAAATGTTCTCTGGGAGGGTGGGGAGGCCAGAGAAGCTGTGGCTGCTTCTGGATCCCTGGAAGTGTCCAAGGACAGGTTGGGCAGGGCTTGGAGCAGCCTGGGACAGTGGAAGGTGTCCCTGTCCATGGCACTGGATGGGCTTTAACGTCCCTCCCAAGCCAAATCATTTCACGATTCTGTGATTAGTGCACAAAAATGGACCACCATAACCACAATCCAGCTATTGCTTCATTATTAAAATGAAACTTCTTCACCAAAGCAGGAGAAGAGGGAAAATCTGAGGGTTTTTCCTGGCATCAGCCCTAATGTTTGCAATTTGACCTAACAACCCACTTCCTCTTCCCTTTCTGAGAAACGACACCTTTATATTTGAAATACCAAGGTATAAATCCATCACATTCCCTTCCTACCTTTTGGGGGCTGTAAGAGCCTGGAATTCTCAAACAAATATTTCTTCTTGATGGGCAAAATGACAGTGTCTTTCAAATCTGTGATGACATCATCTAAGCCTGCAATATCACTCCAGGTGACCTGCAAGGCAAAAAAACAGTGTTGGGAATGATCAGCATCGATCCTACCACGGAAAAGCACCCACCAGCTTCAAAGGAGTGCTTTGAAAATAAAAAAGAAACCCTCTGCTCTCAATGATGCAGTTTTAATTTTAGATCACAGGAATATTTCCTGTGTATTTCCACAGAGGTGCAAATAATGTAACCCAGAGACAAAGGGGAATTTTGCAGGTCTGAGGAGCAGGGAAGTTGCTCACGTGCATGCTGAGTGGGTCCACCAGGTGGGCAGCAATGCTCATCTCATACTCAGTCAGCTTGACATTCTTCACTCCTATTTGCTTCATCAGCTTTTCAGCCTGGGGGAAACCAAACACCAAGAAAATCAAGGGAAAGAAACTGAAAGCTTCACTGAAAAAAAGCAGCTTTTTAAAAGAACTGCTGTTTGTGGCTTGAAAAGCTTCTCCCAAAGAGGTGAAATCTTGTTTTAAGCAGAAGGTTCTGCTTTTTCCTAATGACTTTGGTGTCACTTGAGTGAAACCAAGTCAGATGTCTCAGTTCCCATCAAACAAATGCTTTGACATGTCCAAATCCAGAACTCCTCTGTTATGACCTAAGAAACAACCAGAACAAACCTTAAAGCACAGAGTGTGCCCCTCAAGCCTCCACAGCACTCGGAGAGATTTGTGTATTTTGACATGAGTCAAGGAGAGATTAATGTATTTTTAAATTCCCAGAAGTCAGTCAATTTCTGATACGTGTTCAGTGGGTTTTCCCTAATTTACAAGGAAAACTCATTGTGTCAACACACTTGCACAAGTCAATTTCTCTTTCTACTCAAACTTGCAATAAGCCCAACAAGGTTTTGGGACAGTGCAACCTCTTAGATAACAGCTGGCACTGAATCCATTGGGAAAGCCGGTTTTCAAGTAAAAAGCTCATTACAGAAGGAAAACCACCCAACACAGATTTAGGCTGCTCAAAACCTGTGAAATTCTTGTCAGTCAGAAACCAAACAAAAAAAAGCTGCCACATTTCCAAAGCAAACCTTTAACTTTTGGTTCTGAAGAGCCCCTAAAGCTTTTCCAGAGCACAAATCGTTCCAGTTCAAGATAAGGCACGAGGCTTTTCATTTTTTTCCCTCTCCTTTCCAAGGCATTTTGACTGCTGGTGGAGGTCTCTGCCTGTAAGCTACCAGAAATGCAGAGCTTTCAAGTTCTCTTTTAAATTAAGAATTAAGTTATCTCAAGGTTTTCAAAATCAACCAAGAGACTGATGATTTAAGGCCACTGCTGCTCAGCAAGGCTGTCAGAAGCAGAGAAGGCACCAGGCCCACAGACTTGCTGAAAATCAGAGCCAACAGCAGCCTCCAGACCAGCAGCTTTGCTGAAGCTAGAAAATGTAATTGCTTATAAAACTGTAATTTGTTATATACTGTAAGTTGTTATAAAAGACAAGCCCTGAAAAGACCAATAGCCTGAGATTGACTAAACAGCTTCCCACCAGCACATTCCTCAATATCCCAGGGAAACACTGCAGAAAGGAATCCTACCTGCTTTTGAGCTTCCACTTTCTGCTTCCTGGTGGGGTCAATGGCATCCACCATCCACTTGATGGTGAAATAGGTGACGGCCCCAAAGATGGTCAGGCGGAAGATCAGCCCCACCACCTCATTCCTGCTCAGGGGCCGCGAGAACGCCTCGGCGTGCACCATCCTCCTTCCCAGCACTGAGGGGGAAAAGGGAAGCACAGAGAGGGACAGAAAGGAAAATTAGAGCTGAAAAAAACACCTGCCTTGTGTTTAAACGCTGTTTGATAAAAGCTGTTTTGCAGGGACTTTGGACAAGTGCATGGAGTGTCAGGACAAGGGGAATGGCTTCCCACTGCCAGAGGGCAGGGATAGATGGGATACTGGGAAGCAATTCTTCCCTGGGAGGGTGGGGAGGCCCTGGCACAGGGTGCCCAGAGAAGCTGTGGCTGCCCCTGGATCCCTGGAAGTGTCCCAGAGCAGGCTGGATGGAGCTTGGAGCAGCCTGGGATAGTGGAAGGTGTCCCTGCTCTGGCAGCAGGGTGAAATCTAAGGAGTCTTCCAACCCAAACCATCCTGGGATTCTGTGCTCGCAGTGGGCACAAAATTGACATTCCCATCGAGACTGGCATTTTGGGCCTGCTATTGACCCTGAATGCTGAATCCTGGAGCCAGGGAACTCCATTATTTAACCAGAGAGGTCTTTTCCCTAAGAGGAAGTTTACAGGAAAGGCACCCGGCTGCCACATTAAGAAGCAATCAGCGACTTGCATTTGATTAAAACGAGGTTAAGAGCTGGAGCCTGCACCTGGCAGGATGTATGGGGAGATATTAATATCCCTGGAAACCTGAAAATGCTGGATGTGGCACACAGCTATCCAGGGAAAAGCCTGACTGCTGCATGAGCCAAGCCCAGGGAGCACAGCACCCTCAATCTCGGGAACCAAAGGCACAGAGAAAAGAACTTTGCTAAAAGACTCAAAAAGTGACTTGGAAAATCAAGGTCCACTTCCTCCTCAGTTGCTGGGGGGGATCTGCTTGAGAATCCCCAAATGACTTCTTCGGCACTGCCCCATTTTCCTGCTGCAAGGGCACAACCAGCAGCAATTCCTTTGGCAGCTCCTGACACTCCCTGGCTACTCTCCAGACCAAGCTAGCAGCCAGGGCAACACTGGAGCACCCACAGCCAAATCAACCCTGGATCCCCCTCCTCAGGGCAACCCTGCAGCACCCACAGCCAAATTATTCCTGGATCCCCCTCCCCAGGGCAACCCTGCAGCACCCACAGCCAAACTATTCCTAGATGCCTGCTAAAGGACCTAAGGAAGTACTCCGGACCTGGAGGATTCTGCGTGTCCTCGTCAGCCTGACTCATTAAAATAAAAGGGCTCTCTAGTCACTGGACAAGGAGAAAACCTCCCCAAAAACCCCGTGCAGAAACCTCCTTCTTATGCAACCCGTGCACTGAGCGCCAACCGAAAGGAAAAGCTTGAACACGAGAGAAATTGAAGCATAACCCCGCTGAGCAAATTCCTAATAACACACAAACTCTAAAACCCGTAGGAACTCAGCGTTTCTTTTCCCTGAGACAAGACTCTTCACTCTGGGCCCGCTGCGGCTCCGCTCTCCCCGTACAGGCGCAAAAGGCAAACCAAAAACGGCAGCGGCGCTGGTTTCTGTTCGCTCCGAGGGCAAATTGAGGCACTGCCAGGAAACTCTGGCCTGCCCCGGGCCCGGGGAGCCCCACAGGGCCCTCCCCAGTGCGGGGATTCCCCCCGGGGCCGGGCAGCTCCCGTCTCCCGGGCTGCCCCGGGCAGGGCCGAGCCGGGCCGCGCCGCCCGTGACCTTCCCGCCGCCCGGCAGGTGCGGCGCGGCGGGGCCTCTCTGCCGCTGTCCCGCCGGGTCACTCACCGTGCGGCGGCTCTCCGGGACACGGGGCGGGACGAGCAGCAGGAGGAGGAGGAATGAGAGGAGGAGAAAGAGAGGGAGGAAGAAGCGGAGCAAAAGCCGGCGGCAGCACCGAGGGCCCGGCAGCGGCGGCGCGTCCGGCGCTTCCTCCGTCCGTGCGGCGCTCGCTGCTCCGCCCAAAGGTTCCGGCCGGCGGCGCCCCGCGCGAAGGTTCCGCCCACCGGCAAGGGGCCGCTCCAGGCTGGGAAAGGCCGGGATGAGCCGGGATCGGCCGGAACGAGCGTCAGCGGAACGGAGCGTTCAGCACGGCTCCACCGGCACCCCCCGGGGCCACGGCTGCCGGTTACAACGTGTAATAACAGCGGGAAATCCCCCTAGCACATGGAATGCATAGAACATAACATGTACGACATGATAAGAGAAATATAAAATTATACATATAATATAAACATCAATACAAAATAATACATCTGATACATAAAACATGCGTATATACACACACATTTTATATAGCTAGATATGTAATTTATATTACATATGTATACATAACCGATATAAAACATATCTAACATATTTACAACATATACAGAGTCAAAGAAGAATGTCCAGGAAAAAGGCGAAAATTACAAGATCTCTCTAACAGCCATAATTAACCCAGAGTTTTGGCAATTTCTCTTCAACCCTTCTGCTCTCAAGCCAAGTTTTCCCAGCAACAGGACGAGAGGAAATGGCCTCAGGCTGTGCCAGGGGAGGTTCAGGTGGGACATCAGCAGGAATTTCTTCACAGAAGAAATGATTTCGATTTGATCAGGCAAGTCCTCCCTTTCATGCTGCTCCTGCAGGCTTTGATGGTAAAAAAGATTATAATCTTCTAGAGGTTTTTGTTTTTCAGTTCATGTGGACCATTGTGTTCGTTCATTCCTGGAGGAAAATATTTAGGATCCTTCTGGTTTTCTTCCCACTCCTGAAAAAAAAAGGTGACATCTGTTCTGCTGCAATTAAGGAGAAATACAAACACACACACACACACACACACACGAGGAAAAGCAGCTCAAAACTTACGTTTTGTCACTGCTGTGGTGGCAACCTCTGAAAAAAATCCCATAAAAAAATATTTTTAAAGGATGTGGGGAAGTGCAATTCTTCACAAGCCAGCCAGGGTCACGGCGATGCAGAAGGTGTGGATTGGATTGGGCTCCAGTTAGTCCAAATATTGAGGGATTGTGATCACGATTGTGACCAGCCTCCTTCCCAGAGTTCACGTTTCCATTCATATCTCCAGTGAAATGGACTGTCTGGAAAAGAAATGTACTGGGAATCATGAGGTTATACTGGGGAGGAAAGGGGTTTGTGGCAGCTCTGTCCCCAAGCCCTTGCCATGCCATGGATCGTGGGGAATGCTTGCCACCTAAAGATAGATCCAGAAGGTGGGAACACAAGTAGAATGAGTTGAGATGGCTGGGAACCAAAACCCAGCTCATTCCACCCTGTGCCATGGGCAGGGACACCTTCCACTGTATCCCAGCTTGCTCCAATCTGGCCTTGGACACTTCCAAGGATCCAGGGGCAGCCACAATTTTATCAGTTTTGGGTGTGCAGCTGGAGGAAAGGGGGAGTGTGGAACTCAAGGGGGCCGAGAGAGACTTCTGTGCTTGGGAGAGCACGAAGTGCTCTTTAGGGACAGTGTTGGCACAAGGATAAATGGATGCAGACCAGTCCCGAATATATTTAGCCTGAAAACCAAGAGAAGGTTCTGGGAATAGCTTTGCAGTGGGAATGGTGGTGGCAAAACATCTAAAGATGCAACTTGATACGTTTCTGAAAGGAATTATATAATAGAGCATTTGCAAAGGCTGGAGGCTGCAGTAGCCTGGGAAATCCCACCACCTGATGTTCCACTTTATTTTGAGCCCTTAAAGGTTATTTTCCTGCAAAACATTAACGCTGCTAATGCCCAAAAAGTTACAGTTCTCAGCTTAGAGTGTGAAGAGCCTTGGACAACGGGGTTTATTCCCTAACGTTTTAATGAGTTATAATGACTTGATTTCGAGATTTATAGATGGGGCTTTCTCCCTGCCAAGATAATTGTGATCAGTGTGGGAAGGAGAATGGAGTGGGACAGAAAGCTCCATGGAAATACCACGGGCTGCTGGGCCAGACGGCCCGACCTGGGGAGACTCATGTCCCGGAGCATGGCTACCCCGAGGCCACCAAGAGGAATTTCTCCATGGAAAGGGTGCTCAGGCCTTGGCAGGGACTGCCCATCCCTGGAGGTGTCCAAGGAAGGGCTGGATGTGGCACTCAGTGCTCTGGGCTGGGGACAAGGCGGGCATGGGGCACAGCTTGGGCTCGATGATCTTGGAGGGCTTTGCCAACCTTTATGATTCTGCGATTCCGAGGGCAGCAGGTGGCCCAAACCCTCCTTCCCTCCGTGCCCCGGTGGCTGCAGGAGGCGACAGGCGCTCGCTCACCGCGGTTTCTCCGCTGCACGCCAACCTCGGGGGCCGTGAGGGGAGGACGACGAGCGCCCTCAAGACGCCGGGCTGACCCCCCCGTTCCCTTTCCCCGCGGGGCCGCACGGAGCCCGTTCTACCCCTTGCCTTCTTCCCGCCCAGTTCGGCCGAGGAAGGAGGAGAGGCGAGCGGGCGGCAGTCCCGGGGGCTCTGACGGGGGGGGGGTGGGGGGGTCCCTAAAAAGCTCGAGGTGCCCCAGGACCACCCGGGCCCCTCACGGCCCCTGACGGCCACTTCCGCCCGCGGGGGAGGTGCCGCCGCCAGCACCCACGTGACCAGCGCAGCACCGCCGCCGCCTCACTTTACCGCCCGTATCCCTCCGCTCACCGCTCCCCCCTCCCCCACCCCCTCCCGGGGCCGAGCTGGGGCCGGCGGGCGGAAGGCTACGGACGGCGCCCGCAGTGCGGTCCGGTCCCCCCGTCCTCCCGGTCCGCCGCTTCTCCGCTTGTCCGGCGGCGGGGTGGGAGGAACTACTTTGTGTGTTGGCGGATGCGTCGCGTGGGCGTGGCGGCGCCGCCCGCCGTCCCTCTCGGAAGCCGCGGCCATGATGGGCGCCCCGCGCCGGCGAGCGCTGCGGGCCGGGGGATGAGCGCGGCCGTGCCGCCCTGAGGAGCCGCCGCTGGGAAGAGCCGAGGGAGCGACCGCCCGGCCCCCGGGGCGGGGAGCGGAGCGGGGCCGGGCCGGGGGCGCGCCCCGCGCCGCTGTCACCATTGCCGGGGCCCGGAGCGCCGCAGAGCTGCTCCCCCCGCCGCCGCCGCGCTCGCCCCAAACACGGCGGCGGCGGCGGCACCGCCCGCAGGGGCTCGGCGCGGCTCCCGACGCGCTCGGAGGAGGAGGCGGAGAAGGAGGAGGAGGAGGGAGCAGCAGCCGGTGCCGCCGCCGGGAGCCGGGCCCGCCCGGGGCTGAGCCGCCGGAGCATCAGCGCCCGGGGCCGCCCGGTGGTGCCTCGCGGCCGCCGCCCGGGCCCTGCGCGCTGCCCCGGAGCGGCCCCCGGCTGCCAGACATGACCGCCATCATCAAAGAGATCGTCAGCAGGAACAAAAGGCGATACCAGGAGGATGGCTTCGACCTGGACCTGACCTGTATCCTCCTCCCGCTCCTGCTCCCGCACGTCCCGCGATTGCATCAGACCCGCGCGGCGTTACCTAACGCGCTGCCCCCGGCCGCTCCGCCGCCGGGGCTCGCCCGGGCCGCCGCGCCCTCCCCCGCCGCCGCCGCCGCCTCGGCCGCCTTTTGTCCGGGCCCGGCAGATTAACGGGAGCTCCAGGATTAACGCCAGCGCTCCTTGCCGGCCGGCCCGCGGCCCCCCCGAGCCGCCGAGGGGCCGTGCCCCCCCCCTTCCCCTCGGCCCCGGAGCCCCTGCCCGCTCCGGAGCAACCGCTTATCTCCGGCTCTCTTGGTTTTTGGGCTCACGCAGCAAATGCGCCCGACCCGCCGTGATTTGCGTCCTCAGCGCTTTATATATTTTTTTTAATTTTTTTTTTTTTTTTTTAATTTAATAACTCGTCTTGAATCGCGGTTACAATCATGGCAGGCCCGTGTCTTTCCTCGGGTTGCTTCAGTCGAAGCCTGTGTCCTCTGCCCTGATTTCCAGCCCTCCACTAAGGCAGAGCTGTACCTTAGGATGCAGCAAGGCTCTCCATGACAAGAGGTGGCAATCGCTCCTTCCAAATTAAAAAAAAAACCAAACAACCAAAACCCACCATTTTTTCCCGGTGAACTGCACGAGGATGTGTCACAAATGAGAGTGCATCGGGTCTCGTCGAGGAGGATTGTATAGAATACTTACTCTGGAATAAGTAATTAGCGTGCAATTATGGCTAATGAGGCAAAACCCGGTTTGTAGTTTTGGTGGCCTTTGGAACAGATGTGCTGGAGCGGCGTCAGGCAGATGTTTAGCTTGGAATGCCCTGCAGGGTTCGTGGTGGGTAGGGGCTCTGCTGTGGACAGGGTCTTGCTTCGTGGTGGGGAAAGATTGGTGCAGTGGGAAACATTTTGGGGCAAGAACTTCGCTTAGAAGTTGGAAAAATGAATATTGGCAGTAGAGCTCAGAGCTGGACTCCTCCCTGTGGAGAGATGTTTCTGTTCTGCAACAGGATTAGGTGGAAATTTATTGGGTTTTGGAGCAATTACATTCAGGTCTGAGCAAGTGCTCCAAATAAATCCAGTTTTTGGGCAGGATCAAAGCTGATAAAAGCTGTAGCTAGTACAGAGCTCTTGCTTTTGCATTGAGCCTTGGCCTAAAATTTTGGTGGCTTTAAAACAACCTGAAAGGT